TTTTTTATTTTATTTATTCTTCTTTTTATTTCCACTTTTATTTTATTATTCTTTGATTGATTTATTTTTTTCTAATTTGGCACTCTCACTGCTCCATACAAAACCTCCCATACGAAAAGCAACCCCCCCAAAAAAACACCTCTGTAATATATTTTTTTGAAATACAAAAGAATAATAATTTCTGTGTTTGTGTTGAGTTTCCAGGCAACAGCTGTGACTGGTTTGGAACGACAATGGAGGTGAACAAGGTGCTCAGCTTCTCCTCAAACACACTCTGACTACAGTTCTAACTTCAGTGCACTTGACTGTTTCCTTTTATAAACGCAGGACATCAGAGACGCTCTCCAGAAGGACGGGATAAGGAGGGACGCTGATGTTTGCCAGCTCAGTCTGGCCACAAAGTAAGACGAACCTTTGTTTTTATTTAAAATATAAACCTTAAACTTGCACTGCACATCATTTCACAAGCATCCAGGCTGTTCAGACGGAGAGATCACAGTTGTTTTGTGGCTTTGTCGAGCAGAAAACTCACCGCCGTTCCTGACTTATCAAGATTTCACTTCCTGAGGAAGCTGTGGCTGAACAACAACGAGGTACTGGACTTAATGTACACGACCTTTAGCAGCCAGGTGTCCTTAAAGGCTGAAGACGGTTTGATTTGCATTGTGATCCTTTCAGATCAGGGAGCTCAGCTGTCGCTCCCTCAACTGCTGCCTGACTGAACTTCACCTCCAGAACAACAACATCAAGTCTGTCTCAGGTTCATTCTTATGTCTCCTCTGAAGATATTTGTACATTCCACAGGATGATTTCATGGTTTTATAATTTGCTTTTTTAACTTTTAGCACAGCTCTGGATGGATTTCAGTAAATGCTCCTTTAAAGGTGGCAGCAAAAGTCAGAATCAAAAACATTGGTGCCTTTTTGTGGAATATTGAATATTTTACACTGACCTTGAACTCTTCATTTCAACAATGCCACCAGAAAGGTTTAGAGATGATGGAATTAGGAGAGATTTAGGGAGGCAGCAATTCTTTTGACAAAAAAATAATAATAATTTCGGCTGTAAACTTTGAGCCCATAACGTAAATACACAGCAGTCAGATAAATGTAAACGAGGACAAAGTGCTTCAGTACACCGTGTCCAGCTCTAGCAGCCGTAAATCTGTGCATCACCCTGAATAGGAGTCCTTAAATAACAAGTAAACAGGCCATCATTAACATTTCTTTCCTCCTGTCTCTAACTTAGGCGCTCTAAATCATCTCACCTGCCTTCGACTCCTGTTTCTCCACAACAACCAGATCAGAGGGCTGGAGGACACGATGCACGAGCTCAGGAGGATGCAGCAGCTCCAAAACGCCAGTGAGTGATGAACCCTCCGTCATAAAGAGCCCTGCAGAGGGGCAGATTAGTTCCATCCATCCATCATCTATACACCGCTTAATCCTCACTAGGGTCATGGGGGGCTGGAGTCTATCCCAGCTGACTCAGGGTGAAGGCAGGTTCACCTG